CACACACACACACACACACTGCAAAACATTCAAAGATCAAACTAAACATTTCAACTAATACACTTTTAAATGTTGAAGCCAAACCAGTCTCATAACTTCAGAACATTATCAACTCTTATTATCTTGTATCTTTTATTGCAGTGGTGGATCTCGTATTTATCTGAACCAGGGGCCATTGAGGGGCCAATTATATGTCAATTATTGATGCAGACTCAGTAAAGTGCACATCTAAGTCATTCCTTACTTACTGTTATTGCTGTAGATGTGAACAAAGACACACATCAGTGAATATATTTTGACAAAAGCAAATTGTGGACTTAAAAAAATAATTGTCATATTTATTGTAAGTACAAACTACTTCAGGGGCCAATCAGAGTTCAGCTGGGGCCAGTGCCTCCTCAATTAGAGTTTGAATCCTATTTTCAAACTGTGTGAGAGTCTGTCCCTGTTTGTTGGTAAAAGTCAAACAAATGTTCACTGAAATTCTCATGAAGCAGAATGTTTTAATGAACCCATCGACCCTGTTAAACTTCTGAGACGAGGACGTTGTCAGACGAGTCGTCCCTCTTCTTTCTAATTCAGAAATCTGTCCGTGTCTCTGTAACGATCATCTGATCAGCTTCACACTCAACGTGTTGTTCAGGCTCCAGTGAAGTGAAGTGTTGAACTTGGACACACGATATTTTCAGTATTAATAAGCTTTGAACACACAGGTGACCAGTGTCTGAGGCAGATCACAGCGGCTGATCCTCCAGTTCACAAGTCGTCGTCACTTGAGGAGAATCAGTCGCCGTTGTTGCGTCTTGTCTCCTGTTAAATCAAAGTTTAATATTGAAAAAATGAAACTCTGCACTTCAGTGGATCCTTAACACACGTGACCAGTGTGAAGCAGATCAGATGAACTGTTCTAGAGAAACGTCTTAAGAAACAACAAACTTCTATAACAAATCATTCTCTGACAGAGAGGTGGTGATGATGATGTCATGTCCTGCGTCCGTTTCGTCTGAGACGTGTTGCATCACGTGACTTTGTTCCGTCAGGTGAAAACCAAGTCTCAGGTTGACGAAGGTTTTTAAACGACTCGTCTCTCGTTACATTTTTATTGCGCTGACGCCTGCGGAGTCGTGTCCGCAGACGAACCTCACAATGATTGTAGTCATTCCAACTTTTCAACCTCCGGACAAGAGGACAAACTTTCTCCGGAGGTGAGAGCGAATTCCTCTCCTCCGTCCCTCCACCCCTGCCTCCACCCCTCACCCTCATTCTGTCTTCAGTCCATTCTGTGTCCTCGGTGTGAAATACCAGAGGCTCCGAGCTCCTGACACACTGACCTTTGACCTTTGGACATGGGAAGTTCTAATTTAGACTCCATGGTGGCACCCTGGTGACTGACCACAAACACACACACACAGCCAGTCAAGTGTGAACCCTGAACTGTGAACCGTGGAGAGAGGAGCACAGGGTCAGAGGTGCACTATAAGTAAAGATGGACGACATGTCTCCACCTCCTCCCAGTTTGACAATTTGTCCAGCGGCAGTAACCATATTTGGTGGATGGGTGGAGCCTGACTGAGAGCTCGAGGCCAATGCACGCCCACCTACACCTGCCACCTGCACCCATTGGACGGTACTAGCTGTCAGTCACATTGTATCAACCCCCCCGATACACACAGTGCTTTGTGATCTATTTGACTCTAAATGATCGACTCTTGAAGACGACTTGAAACTATTGATTGAGACTTTATTTTCTCTGATTATCGGATTATTTCTTTCAGGGCAGAAAAGTGTTGCATTGTGTTTTCACTCCTGTCCATTTGCTTTCATTTTTTTTGTGATTTTAGCTCAATTAAAAACTACTGAGTGATTTATAGAGAATAATTCATGGATGTGACTTATTTAGAGGACCGGGTTTATTCGTGTCTGTGATTTGGTGCAGCTTGATTTAATGTAAAAGACGGAGGAATGAGCTCAGAGGGACATTCTAGTGACTAATACAACTTTATTTTACCATGAAACCTTCTCGAGTCCTTTTTGTCGTCGTTACTTTTTGTCATCACCCGTCACAACTCTATCTTCCTGCCCTCCTCCCCGCTCCCCTCCGTGTCAACAGTCTTCATTATGAGGAGCATTCCAGGCTCCGGGCCCCGGGGTTGTAGCTCTGTGTCTGGCCCCTCATTACACCGTCGCTGCAGAGAGAGAACGCAGCTGATGTGACAGCTGCCATTGTTAGCGGAGCTACACGGGGCCGCTCGCTCCGTGACTGCTCCGGCTCGCTCAGTCGTTTACCTGCTGTTTAGCTGATCATGTGAGATCTAATCACACACATGAGTTTGATTCTAATCGTCTAAATACAAAGATTAATCGCTCAAACTGAGGAATTAATGAGCACGTTTTCCCACATTGAGGCCGAGAGACACACGCATGAGTAGAAATTATAATAATATTATGTCAGTTTAAAGCCACTGTTTAGTTTATTTGATGGAAGCACTTTGGTCCTGTTTGTCTGGTGCATGAACTATGTTTTAAAATGGGAGTGATTCTTTTTTTTAAAGGAATAAAATTAAAAACTATCATCTGGATCCTTTTAGAATTGAAAACAAACCCCTGTGGAATTTATCTGAATGTGATTAAAATAGAAAATGATTATTTGATCCATTAAATATCACAACAGCAGCGGGAGTCGTTTTTGTGTCTCAGGTGGTAACGAGGCAGTACTTTTTCTTTTTTAGGTCACTGTGACCTTTGACCTTTGTCCACTGACATCTGGTCAGTTCCTTCTTGAGTTGGTTCTCTGTGAGTCACTGCTGTCTTGTCCGATCAGGAGGCCGGACCCCGGGTTTCAGTCAGTGGGAACAACGAGGGAACCGGGAAGAGAAGCCCACTCTGACCAGAGCGTCGTCATCCTGCACGCCAAGGTGGCTCAGAAGTCCTACGGCAACGAGAAGAGGTGATGACATCTCAGTTTGATAAACACTCACTCAAAAAACACGTACAACTGTGGCTACGTTCACACGAATACGTTTTAGTTACAGAGTTGTTCCAGCTCCTGAAACTGAGAAGTTCAGGTTCACGAGAATACTTTGATTCTGCAGGTTCTTCTGTCCTCCGCCCTGTGTTTACATCCGTGGTCATGGATGGAAGGTCATGCAGGATCATCTAAAGGGTGAGGAAACTTCTTTATTTGTCTTCCCTCTGTTCCTCCATCTCATCCTCTTCATCGCTCTGTTGTCATTTCTTCATCCCTCCTCTCTCTCGTTCTCCTGCAGCGGCTGGTTATGGAGACTCTGTGTATCGCATGTGTGGTTACATGTGTCTGGACAACTCCAGTCAGTCTCAGGCCGACACTTTCAAACTGGTCTTCGATGAGCAGCCAGACTCCACGGTTAGATAACTGTGTGTGTGTGTGTGTGTGATTGATTGATGGGATCCTGAACTAAAGACCTGGAGCGACAGGCAGCTCGGTGTGTTTGTCCAGACGAGACAATCACGTCCTTAGCGACAGACGACTGTTGACTCAACAAACAGTCGTGTCTGACAGAAAAGCTGCTGCGCTCCTGTAAACACATTGTTTCTCTCTCGCTGACGTCGTCACTGAGAGAGTAGAAACAGACTTCCTGTTTCTCTGTCCAGTCCATCAGAGAAGACTCAAACTCGCCAGACCTCTGACACACACACACACACACACACACACACACACACACACACACACACACTGACTGACTGACTCCTCTGTCTCTGCAGCAGATGTTTGCCTGCGCCAAGTCGCTGTTCATCTCTGATCAGGACAAGAGGAAACACTTCCGCCTCCTGCTTCGACTCTTCCTGGGCAACAGACAGGAAGTGGGTTCATTCCAGAGCAGACTGATCAAAGTTATCTCCAAACCGTCACAGAAGAGACAGTCCATGAAGAACGTCGACCGTGAGTCACGTTTTTACATCTTTTCCACTTTTCATTGCTCCTCTGGAATCTCCTCGTCTTTCCAATGTATCCTGAGATGTTTGTGTTCTTCCAGTTTCACGTCACGTGTTAGAAACCTCATCAGCACGTCCACTGATCCCAGGTTCAGCTGAACGATTGATAACCGGTTGTGTCCGGTCACAGGGTCAAAACTCTCACACACACACACACACACTCACACACACACACACACACCCTCTAAAAAGAGACATCATCTTGACAGCCGACATTTCAGATCAGGTGACGTCTGCTCAGGTTTCTGCGTGAGAACATGTCAAATATTACAAATGATGAAAAGCTTAAATAAACAGCTTGTACTGTGTTGTACAGTATGTGTGTGTGTGTGTGTGTGTGTGTGTGCAGAATCCGTTTGGTCACACTACGTCTTTGTGTGTTTTTCAGTGTGTATCTCCTCGTGCTCCAGAGTTGCTTTGTTCAACCGACTGCGCTCTCAGACGGTCAGCACTCGTTACCTCTCAGTGGACAGAGGAGCTTTTGTAGCCAGCGCCAGACAGTGGACAGCCTTCACCATCACCATGGGTAAATCTGTGTGTGTGTGTGTGTGTGTGTCGGTGCATGTTCACAGCTTCCTCGTCACACACTGACTGATGCCTTGTGTACTGTAAAGGTCATATTGTGGTCACTGTTTGACTTTAGATCAAAAACAGAGGCTCAGAGGGGTTTCAAGAAATCCACCTCCACCATATCTGACTGAGCAGGACACAGATTCTGATGAACAGTGGCGTCGCCAGGATTAAATGTTACAGTACGAGACAGAACCGTCGCGTCGAACCTCAGTCTCTACGTGCACACCTACAGCAAGTGAACGAGCATGAACTATAGATTCTGTTCAAGTGTCTGCTGGTCACAGGGATAACCAGCGTCGACACCAGTATCAGTCTGGTTCCCTCCAGTCTGATACCAGAGGCCGACACCAGTATCAGTCGGGTTCCCTCCGGTCCCCAGACGTCTCCTCAGCTCACGGCCACCCTGCATAAATACAGTCAGTGTGAGGGCGAGTTATTCACCAGTGTTCCACTCACACACGTCTGGAAAAGACGGTCCACAGATCTGCTGTGAGGTTATTTATTTAACACAGTGCCCGGTGTGCACGGACCTCCCACCACCAAAACCTCAACCTCAGTCCTTCACCCCAACACACACACACACACACACACACACACACACACACACACACACTCACTCAAAAGATCAGTCTGTGTTGCAGTGAAAGTTAAATATATTATCCATTAATGTACAGTGCATATGAATATTCATGTGTGTGTGTGTGTGTGTGTGTGTGTGTGTAGTAGAGGACCAAAGTGCTAACCAAGGAGACTTTGTGCTGAGCGAAGGTTTCATCTGTTACGGAGCTGTGGTCCAGTTAGTGTGCACGGAGTCTGGAGTAGCACTGCCACCAATGGTAACACACACACGCACACACACACACACACACACTGGCAAGTGCACTGATCATATAAAAATGGACGACGTGACAACTCCCAAAAGTGAAGCTTGTATTTCAGGTCGTTCTTATCTCACTGATGTTCATGTTTGGTTTTGATTAGTTTATAAGATGTCAGCGTTCGGATCCAAGATATTTTTGCTTTATTTTTTGAAAAGTGGGAGAAAGTGGAAACGTGTTGTTCGTCTTTATTTACAGTCTGTCGATTTACTACTTTTCATCTTATTCTCCAGTACCTACAAGTATCGGTACGTTCTGCAGTGATACTTTAACACTGCAGGATTTACGCAGTATGTTACCGAGGTTTATCAGATTTGTGATAAAAGTCAAGCTGTGGATGAATAATTGCTGACGATGTCGTGAGGAGAAACCAAAGCGCAGCAGTGATGCTGGGACGTAGAAATATCTTATTTAGAAAACAAGCTCAGTGTTTATAACCACCGGAGAGAGGAGGCGCTGCAGCCGTCTCACCTGATCATGTTTAAATGTTTAAACCTCAGAGTCACGGTACAATCAGAGCTCTGGTTGTCCCGTCTCACAGATGTGTGTGTGCAGGTGTTACATAATCTGATAATCCCTAAAATGCTGTGATTGTTCCTCCCATCATCCAGTTTAAATTAAACTGAGACGAAGCGCTGAGCAGACCCTTTCTCAGCGCCTCCTAAACTGCTGTCATAACAAGCTCAGCCACAGGCCCGGTGCTGGATGGTGGAGGAGGAGCTGCACACTGCACCTCTGGATGTTTTTACAGTTGAGGCCTATCGCTGCTTCGGTTTGTTTGAAGACAGAGAGCGTGGCGAGCGGCTTGGTTGTGGTCGACCTTCAGGGACTGAGGAGGTGAAGGGAGACGTACAGATGAAACCGTTCAGCTGCATCAGCAGCCGTGAAAAGACTATGAGAACAAAGTGGTTCATGTTCTGTGTGCGGTGCACGGTAGCGTGTGAAGTGCACGTTTGCGTGTGATGGAGCTCGAGGTCTGAAGATACCAGAGGTTTTTCACTGTGCAGCTTTTTAAATCTCTCCACTCTGCAGTTAGAGAGCGTTGTCAGCTGTTCTGTCTCAGCTTTCTGCCGACTGAACACAGTTTAACTAGATCTACTGTTTTCAGACGTCAACGACCGACTCTTGATCTGAACTTCTGTTCTTCTTTATGCAAAGTGCAGGCTCGGATTATTTTTGATATAAATTAAATGTTTATCATTATTAATATATTTTAAAAAAGAGATCTAATCTAATGTTCCTGAAATGTTCTGGAGGTTCTGCATGTGAGGACACAAATTGTCGGACGGACGTGAAACTGCAAGAATACAAAAACTATGTAAATCTGTTAATTAAATGTGTTTAAGTCAAAATCATTATTATTGGTGTTTCTTTTCATCGTCTTGTTAAAATCCCACCAGGTGATTCGTAAGGTCAACAAGCAACACGCCATCCTTGACGTGGACGAGCCTGTTTCTCAGCTTCACAAGTGCGCCTTCCAGTTCAGAGACGACCCTCAGGCCTACCTGTGTTTATCTAACGACAGCATCATCCAGTACCTGGTGAGACTCCGTCCTTCTCTGTCTCTGTCTCCCTCCATCGGTTCTGTCTCTCCTTCATCCTGTTCTCTCGCTCCAGGCTCCCTCCAGCCTCAGAGACCCCAGCAGAGTGGTGCTGAACGACGGATCCTGTTGGACCATCATCGGAGTGGAGATGGTGGAATTCACCTTTAACGAGGGTCTGGCCTGTGTCCAGACGCCAGTCAGTCCTTTTCCTGTTATCATAGGGTTAGAGGTGAGTCCGATCACACGGGTTCACACACACACACACATGTACACGCACTGAGAATCGTGAGCTTTAACTCTAAGTAAAACCAAGTTAAAAGATCAATGAGACAAAACCACAGCAGATGTTGACAGTGAAACGAGCAGAGTCACTTACAAGTGAAAACCTTTTTATGCTAAAGTAACGTCATGACGTCCCTGATCACATGACTTCAGATGATGGGTCATAATTTTCTCTTAGAGAGTTGTTTTGTAGACACACACACTCGGCGAGAACATTTCTCTTCTGTGCCAATATGTCATCAATTCTGTCGACATATCTGAAAATAATAAAGTGTTCTGCCCTCGTGAGCTCAGGCTGTGTTGTTGCTTCGTTCCTGTAGGTGAACGGCGGCGGACACGTTGCCATGATGGAAATCCACGGAGAAAACTTCAGCCCTCATCTCAAAGTCTGGTTTGGCAACAGTGAAGCTGAGACCATGTTCAAGTGAGTTCAGGAAGAAAATAAATAATTCAGGTCGATTCTGATTTGATTGATTTCTCTTAATTGATTTCAATATCAGTTACTGACAACGTCACATGTTGACACGCAACAGATCTGTTCATTTTATTGATGGGCTGTTTCCTGGTTAACAGCAGGTGGAGCCTCGGGGGGATGAAGGACGAATCCTTTATTTATTCTTTTCATTTGATCAGTTTTATTCTTCAGGTGAATGTTTTAAACGTTGCTGGTTTTTAAGTTTTGTTTCAATCATCTTAAATGTCCACACCAGCGGCTCTCATGCAGCTTCACCACAGAGGATCCAGGTTTAAAACCAAATTAAAGTAATAACATTTTTATGACATTTTTCTTCTACAGACTAAATGTTATGTAACCAGGCAGTTTGAATTCATCTGACCCAGATTCTTCTGTTTCAAAGAGTTTTCTTCTGACTTGAGGTTGAAATCTCTTCACTCAACAAGTTCTAATTTTCCACCATTGATTCACACATTCAGGGAATTCATTGAACTTTTGGTCCATTTTTAAATCGAGCAGCATAAAGGAGTTAATGTTAAACTCATCACTGAGAGACGCTCAGGAAACGATCCTCTTCTCTGACTCCTGTGTGGGATCCTGTAAATTACAGACGGACTCGACAGGAACTGACATTCAGGCGTCTCCTCACAGACTCTCACGTCGAAGCCGCTCCTCTGACGTCAAAATCCACCTCAGATGCCGCAGCTGAGGTGCTGAGACATCAGGGTCTCTGGCCGAGAGGTTCGGTAAATACACCTCCCATCAGCAGCAGCTCGGCAGCGTGGAGGAGAGTTATGTTTGTTTAACAGCCAACCACACTGAGCTGTTTGTACGAGAGGCTGCAGCCAATTAGGAACTCGATCCCTCGCTGGCGTGCAAAGAGGACGTGTGTGAATGAAACACCTTATGAGAGTGCGTTCCAAATATCTGCTGCTCGCTAGAATTTCATATCAGCTCGTGTTTAGTCTGACGCGTAATCATATAATCATCTACTTATGTACAGTTTCCTCGGTGGTTTCTATATTTATTTTCCTCTGTCTTCTTCTTTTACTCTAATCTGTTTTGAAAAGTGCTGAATGGATAAAAAGTTTGCATGTCTTTTTCTTAAATTTTAAACCTGTATTATTTCTTTTGCGACCACTTGGGGGCAGCACAGAAAGTATAAACATTACATATTGTGGTTAATGTCGCATATTCCTGCGTCCTGCAGAAACAAGCCCCACGGTCACTGAGGGTTGTTCGTGATGAGTCTAGTTCCAGTGTTGTCTCTGTTTTGGTCTCCACCACGTCCTCAGGGAGACACTTGATTCTGTAGCTGCTCAAGTCTGAGTCAGTCTCAGCTGTCAATCATGACGTCTGAGCCTGTTTTTATATCATCAACTAACTGATTAAAATCAAACTTGAAACTTGAACAAACATCAGTGAGATAAGAACGAGCACAAAAGTGTACGTGCACTTTGATTTTTTAGTTTGGTCCATGTCCCATCTGCTGACGTGGAGGGGGCGGGTTAGTGAACTATGCTGCTGCCAGCCACCAGGGGGCGATCCAGGTGTTTTGGCTTCACTGTGTCGTCTAGAGCCATTAATGTGTTTGTATAAATATATATATATGTAAGTGTTGTGATAGTTACCATGGATTCCCTGTCAGTAAAGTTTTAGGTCTAAACAGTAGAATCAGGATTAAGAGTTCTTCAGAGTCACATGATTAAAAGTCGATGACGTCACTTTCTTTCTCTTCTCAGGTCGCCCAAATCTCTGCTCTGTGTCGTCCCTGACGTCTCTGTGTTCAGCGACGGGTGGCGCTCTCTGCGTCGGGTCATCACCGTCCCTCTGTCTCTCATCCGATTGGACGGCCTGATTTATCGCACCTCATTCAGTTTCACCTACACCCCCGAGCTCCAGCCGCCTTCCTCTGTCCGAGGAGCGGGAGGAGGGGGAGGGAAGAGGGACGGAGGGATGGACGAGGGACAGGAGGACGACGTCCTGCTGGAGACCATCCACCAGGAGTTCACCAGAGCCAATTTCCACCTCTTCATGTCAAGTTGACTTCATAATCAGGTGCCGATCGCAGCAGGACACCGATTATCACATTTCAGATCAAGACTCTGAACCTGACTGACTGAATTTCATCTGAGTCAACACGATTATTTTTAATATATGACACGAAAATATCCGTCAACATTAAATCCAGGTCACTCCATCAAATTATTGAGTTTAATCACAGGTTCAGTCTGTAACTGAATGAAATGTTTATTATATGTCAGACCTGTGTTATATCTGTATCCGTGTGTTCTTACTTTATATTTTCAAACCTGCAGAAATCTGTTGTTTTAATCAAGATAACGCTGCGTTTCACTTGGTCGCCTGTTGGTGGCGTCATGTCCTCTTTGTGCACGAGTCTGGATCTGAAGTTTTCAGAGAAACACGAGTTTAACGTGACGCTGCTTTATTCACTGGTTTAACTGGTTAAATTTACAAACGTGTTTTTCTCTGTTTCACTTTTTCATCCAGACTAAAACTGTCTCCCATCCAGACTCAGGAAATACAGGGACAGCAGGTTGGAAAGGTGTTGACTCACGAGTATTAAGACAGAGCGAGACTCATGAACACACCAGCAGGAATCACATCAGTCCAGACGTTGGTTCTGTGACATCACGGTGACCTTTGAACTCTCATCAGTTCATCTTTGAGCTCAAGTGAACGTTTGTACCAAATTTAAAGAAATTCACAAACAACATGAAAACAGAACGCGTCCGGACACACGTGTTTTTAATCATGGTTATCAGAGTCTCACTGATTCAGGGTCAGTGTGAGAGGTGAAAAAAATGAACTGGAAGTGAACTGTGACCTGACCGAAAGAAAAGAGCGAGAGAGAGAGAGAGGGAGAGAGAGAGAGAGCGGGTGAATGTTTTTGTCTGGAGATCGAACACACGAGCTGAGAGTGAAGTGTTGTGAGAGAAAGCAGCAGTGAAACAGCGTCTGCTTTGACGAGGAAGCTGAGGCCTGTGTGTGTGTGTGTGTGTGTGTGTGTGTGTGTGTGTGTGTGTGTGTGTGAGCTGTAATCACTGATTCACACACTGTTACTGTAACGTTCATATTCCTGAGCTCAATTTAGACAAAATGATAAAAACTATAAGTTAATCTAATTATAAAAGTGTCGATGAGATGAAGCTGCAGGAAAATCTGAACTCTTAAAGGAACTGAACTCTTTCATCTCGATAACTTTAACAAGTGTTTTACCTTTGCAGAACTTTAACATTTCACTAATAAAACGTGAAAACACTAAAACTAGAGGAACGAAACTGAGAAAACATCCAAACGTCTCTTTTATCCCAGAGATACTGACCCGAAAAAGCCGCCTCATTTTATTTCGCTTCGTCTCTAAAACACGTTAAATAAACGACGACTGAAAAGAAATTCTTAATAATTTAAGACACTCTGTGTCCCTTCGTCCCTGAAATCTCTCCTGGTCCTCGTAACGTTAATCCAATTAATGTTAGAGTCTGGCAGCAGCAACAACTTTGTTCCTGCTGCACGTTTGATCTGTGGGACTTAAGTGAGGATTCATTAAGTGTGTGGTCCGACCAGAACCAGAGAACTCTTTTGTTCCAAACTAGTGAAGCCGGGTCTGATCACAGAGGCGTGAGCAGACCTCCCACGTGGCTCCGGACTGAAGCTGGATTCCTTTCTGTTTTCATCCTCACATAGTTTTCACTCTTTTTTTTTTTACGTCAGCTGCTTCCAGAGCCGTCACCGCATCAGTCAGACTTTATCGGTTCAACACTTTTCATACAGACACAACGTCACAGCTCTCGTTCATCTCAGCGTCCATCACACATGTCGGTTTGACTCAATAACCTCTGTTGATTTTATTTAGGGAAGGTGCAGTGTTCAACTTTCATTCTGCGTCTCACACGATATGTTTTTTAGTTACTTGTTCTGCAGCTGCTGAAGCTATTTGACCCAAGACACATTTCCCCACGGGGACAATAAAGTAGATTTGATTTTAATTTGAAGTTAATAGAAACAATAATATAAAGAACTCACACAGAAGAAAGTTCATCATAAGGTTTAAAAACGCTTAAAAATACAAAGAAGAAAAAAATGTCTCAGCTAAAATCTGAACTTGTAATTTAGAGACTAAAGAATTTAGTCTCACATGCGTACGTCCTGTCGTCATCACCTACGTGGGCGTCGTCTACCTGTACTGGACTCTGATTGGTTTGTAGTCTGACGTGGGCGTGCGTCAGGTGGGGGGGTAGTGTCTCTGAATGGAGGACATGAATGTAAATGGATGTTTCTCAGAGGACTGATATCTACGGGTGTGTGTGATTTGGTGAATGATTCGGTGGGGTTGGATATGAGCTCTGGATATTATATATTATATTTTATTATATTTTATTATATTTCCTGTCGTTCGCGACAAAACAAAAAACAGAACAAATGAAACTGGGTCAGATTTGACTTCTCTTGGTCGTGGATCCGGCCGAACGTCCACCAGGCTGCAGGTCGACTCTCACCTTCCCTCCACACCTCACGTGTCTTATAGTCTGAAGGGAACAGAGCGGCATGGTTCTCTCTTCCTGTGCTCGTTCTCTCTTCCTCTCCTCCTCCTCCTCCTCTTCCTCATCATTAACAAGACAAACATGTGTGAGAGCGGAGGAAGGAGACCCTGCCGTCTCCGGGCTCCTAATCTCTATCATGTGGGAGAAGCTTCAAACTGAGAGATCCACGTGGCCTAAACACTGACGTCCGCCACGTTTTCCCTCCGTCCGGATGAATGAGAGGCCGAATGAAAAGAGCCATTCTTCAGTTTCCCTTCTATAGGAACACACCTTCATTCTTCACTCAGGCCCCTCACCTCCTCCACTCTCTGTGCTATAAGCTCATTTCTGCTGTTTAACTTCACAGTGAATGAAAGTCTGTCTTCACCTCCTGAAGTTTTTTAGTCTTTAAGTCAAATAAAAACATTAGAGTTTTATGAAAAGCACATTTGAACAGTGCTGATGTTAAGATTCTGAGACATGGTTTGTCTTTTCATATTTGATCTGCAGACTAATGGACAGAGATTCAAATCTGCATCTCCCATTTCCAAGGGCTCCTTCAGATTCCAGCGGTGAATGTTTCCTTCCATCGCCAAACAACGCTGGTTCAACGGTGAGAAGATAAACTGCAACTCAAGACTCATTTCAGTTCAGCCGTCATGTGCACGATGATCGTATCTATTCACAGATGTGAGTGGGTTTTTTTGAGCAGAAGAGCTTCAGCTTATTTTACGAGTATTTGTTTGTTGCCATCACTCGCTCCCTGACGGCTGTGGAGGATCTCCCGACATTCTGTTAGCATGGATCGACAATTAAGCTCAAATGGCGCCGTTATCGTCTGAGGAGTGGAGCCTGTTTTCACATCATCAATCAACTCATTAAAACCAAACTGATCAGAGACACTTGAACATGGAGGTGCAGTTACTGCAGACAGCCACCAGGGTGGCAGTTGTGGTGTTTTGGCTTCGCTGTTGGGAGCCGCCATGTCGTCCACGTTGATTGACGTTCCTGACGTGGACTCAAGCTTGTGACTGTTTCTTTGCTTCTAATGAACGGAGGTCATTTTATTTTACTTCTCATTGAGTTGAGGCGTCACGTTCACCGTGGGGGGGGGGGGTTAACGAACAACATGTGGCAGCTCTGGTGTGACGTTGAAGTTTCATTGATATATAACCTTTAATATAGAGAAAAGGTTAAAGGTCGAATTATCTGAGATTCTTTTAGGTTCAAAATAATGTTTGTGTGTTTGATGGATGAGAAGAGGAGACACGTCCTTGTTCTGTTTAAGGGTCATGGAATTTAGATTAGTGTGTGTGTGTGTGTGAGTGTGTGTGTGTGTGTCTGTGTGTGTGTGTGTGTGTGTGTRTGTGTGTGTGTGTTGTTCAGGGGCCCTCCCTCTCCCTGCAGTGTTACCTCTCATATCTTTCACAGTGGTTGCGGGGCCCCTGCCTCTCTTGTGTATTACAGTGGGATAAAGGAGCCCAGTGTCCGACTCTCTGCTTCACCTCCGTCCTCCTCCTGTACATCATCACCTCGACATCACTGTGATGGACAGACGGCCGGGGGACGAAAGAGAAAACACCAGAAAATGCAGAGAGGCGAAAAAGGAGAGGACCAGAAGAGAGACGGAGGGAAACAGGGATCTCGGGTTTAGATGAAAAGATTTGGTCAGAAAGAAGCGAAGAGGCAGAGATTGTCAACAGATGAAGACTTCATGAATGAATAAACATAGTGAGGAGACGCTCTGACTGTTGGACACTATGGTCCTCAGAGGAGACGACTCATCAGTGGACGCCTCCTGTCGCTCACAGCTGTTCAGCGGCCCGGCGCTGACGGGAGCTGTCGCTGAGGAATCCTCCCGTCAGAGCTGCTGGAGAAAAATGAGCAGAATGCTAATTGTCAGAAGCTAACGGAGCATGGGAACTATGAGAGGAATGATAATGATGGTTAATAGAGATTACGTCCAGGTGGCAGCGGCGGTCGTGTCCTGAGACGACGCAGGATCCTGAGAAGACGAGAAGAACTTCAGCTGATCAAAGCACCGGCTCTTTGTCTGTGAAGTCATCCTGTGATCCGCTGAATCGAGCTCAGTCCAGAGCTGCTTTTCTTCTAAACTCTTCTCCTGCTGAGAGAAATCAACTCAACGTCTTTGCACAACACGTTGAACATTTACAATCAGTCACGTTGACACACGACTCCGACACTTTGTGTCCTTCACTCACGAAGTGACAGGATCATAAAATCCTCCTCCAGCTCCGTTTGATCTCCTCTGAGAAATATCAGAACCAGAAGAAGAGTCGGACGCAGCCTCGATGTGTTTCTGCTCATGAAAAAACACAGAATACAAACTTGGCTGAAAAAAAACTTTAAATGATTTAGGAAGTTTTTTTTTAACTCTTAATCTTATTATGTGAATATCACNCTCTACTCTCTCTACCTCTACTCTCTCTCTCTCTCTCTCTCTCTCTCTCAGACTGGTTTAACTGGAAACTCTAAATTGTCCGTAGGCGTGATTTCCCAAGAATGAAGTCATAATTGAGAATATACTTGTTATGACATAATAAATGATAAGTGATAAATACTATAATGGAGAACCTGTGCTACACAAGGACGCGACAGGAACTCATCGACAGGAACTCGTCGACAGGAACTCGTCGACAGGAACTCGTCGACAGGAACTGATCGACAGGAACTGATCGACAGGAACTCGTAAACAGCTTCCTCCTGACGAAACCTCTGATATCAACTAAAGTTAACGTGATGATGTAAAAACTTGAATTAAATGAGTCGTTCGGACTCAGACAGAAGCTGATGATTCTCTTCATCTGGGTCAAACTCAACATCCAACACAAGCAAGTTCAGTCCTGACAGGAACCAATGCAGATGTGCATTCCTGCTGTTCACCGCCACGTGTGTGTGTGTGTGTGTGTGTGTACGTG